TGATATACAAAGAGGAAAGAAAAACTGTCCTCAGCTCAGCTGCATTAGGCAGATGAAACCAACATGGAACTGACACCACTGTGCATGAACACAGATATTACTCAAGGGGGCTTTCACATCAGGGAGCCGGGCCTAAATCTAAGTACACACCAAAGTTCAGTTCTCTTGATTAGTTTGAACACTGTGAGTATGGTTCATGCGTACTCTGGTACGGTGTGCATCAGGTGTGAATGCCTACTGTGCCAAAACAGAATGGTATTTAACGCAACTACAAGGAGCTTGTAACCTGTTATGAAACAGTCTCAATTTAATACTGATGCCTCTATATCAGACGGCAGCGCAGCCCGCCACGAATAGACCCAGTTCCAGCTTCACTGCTACCTTTGACCTGCAGTCAGAGCTCCGGCGAGAGGGAGATCTGCTCAAAGCTGATGACAGTCCCAGGGGCAGCGGTGTCCGATTGTAGTGCCCTTTTGTACACTGTAGCACAACAAAAATGACGATGCAGGTGTACTTGGTTATGGAACAACAATGTGAACGCTGAGTGGCGGCGGAGTGGACCAGGGGCAATCGTACTCAGGCATGGTACGAATCAATACATTACCTAATATGAAAACGTCCATTGTCTAAAGATTGGTAAAAGTGTTCCTTAATGGTAAAGTGTGTAGGATGTATTGACATCTCGTAGTACGGTTGCAGAATTAAAACTTAAGCAAAAACGCCAAAATGTGAATGGCCCTGTCGAGGGCCAGCACTTGGTGTGGCCGTCTGTGTGTGTGTGTGTGTGTAGAGGGGTTTGGAGAGTGGAGGCTGTTCTCACAGCTCTGTATGCTCACAGATGCAGCTATGTAATTTAACAAGTCAAATCTAGTCAAATTTAACCTCACTTGGACGCTAACAGCTGCTCACAAGATGGACTGTGGTTTTTTTATTACTCTTTTTTTTTAATTATTAAAAATGCGTAAAATCAGTACTGATTGCTCCTGGAGGACTTTCAGATTCAATTTATGAGCGAGAAATGGTGTATGTTGTTGGTAGTTTTTTTAAGTGAAACGTTACCTTTCTTTCAAAGATCCTTGAGAAAGTAGTCGCAGACCAGCTGTGTGACTTTCTCTATGATAATAATTTATTGAAAGAATTTCAGTCAGGATTTAGAGTGCATCATACCACTGACACAGCACTAATTAAAATTACAAATGATCTTCTGATTGCTTCAGACAAAGGACTCGTCTCTGTACTTGTTTTATTAGATCTTAGTGCGGTGTTTGACACAATTGATCATCATATTCTGCTACAGAGTATGGAACATTTAATTGGCCTAAAAGGTTCTGCACTAAGCTGTTTAAATCTTATTTATCTGATCATTTTCAGTTTGTTCATGTTCATAATGAATCATCCTTACGTACTAAAGTTTTTTTTTGGAGTTCCACAAGGTTCTGTGCTCGGACCAATCCTGTTCACTCTATATATGCTTCCCTTAGGCAGTGCTGGGCTTGTTACTCAAAAAATGTAATATATTACTTATTACTAATTACCCTTTTTAAAAGTAATATTGTTACTTTACTTATTACTCCCAGCCAAAAGTAACTAGTTACTTATGTAATATATTACTTTCCCAGTACATCCCTGTGTGAATCTCGGTAATCACCACTAAACGTAGCTAAGGCTTGACAGACAGAGATGTATGCGCATGTGCAAATGCGAAAAATAAATAGACAGTGCTCTCTACGATGACAGACGGTGTCACACTTTTATTATGTCTCTGTGAATGTAGTTTATTATCGAATACAAACCACTTTGGTGCACTACACTGATTATGCAGCTGCATAGGATGTCGCACTCAACAAGCGCCTGAATCCCCAAGATGGCGTTGAAACAAGACCGGTGATCGCCCTATTTGCAAGATGGTTATCACCTGACTATCGCATCCGGTGGATAGTGGTGCTCGCTGCTCACAATAGTATTGGAATATCAGCTG